TCACCGTCGCGGCGCGCGGGCACGGCCACTCGCTCCTCGGCCAGTCCCAGGCCGCCGGCGGGATCGTCGTCAAGATGGAGTCCCTCGCCGCCGCCGCAGCCAGGGCGGTGCGGGTGCACGGCGGCGCGTCGCCCCACGTGGACGCCCCGGGCGGCGAGCTCTGGATCAACGTGCTGCATGAGACGCTCAAGCACGGGCTGGCGCCCAGGTCATGGACCGACTACCTCCATCTCACAGTCGGTGGCACCTTGTCGAATGCGGGGGTCAGCGGGCAGGCGTTCCGGCATGGACCGCAGGTCAGCAATGTCAACCAACTGGAGATTGTGACAGGTCTCTGACAAACCCGCCACGCACGATAAAAACATATACAGCCGCTCTAATACTACTACTACAACAACAGCATAGGAATTAGATGACTAAATTTGTTCTTGCTATGAACTACCAAATGCAGGGAGGGGAGAAGTTGTCACCTGCTCGCACGAGGTGAACTCTGATCTCTTCTACGCTGCTCTTGGCGGCCTGGGCCAGTTTGGGATCATCACCAGGGCTCGGATTGCTCTTGAACCTGCTCCAAAGATGGTAACATCAAGCAATCAATTTTGTGTCAACTCAATGATGGAAAAACTGGCCATTATTTGATTCGTTTCATTGGTGCATGTTCACGTACTAATTAGATATACAATGACAGGTGCGGTGGATACGTGTTCTCTACTCGGACTTTGAGACCTTCACCGAGGACCAGGAGAAGCTGATCGCGTCTGAGAAGACCTTCGACTACATCGAAGGGTTTGTGATCATAAACAGGACAGGCATCCTCAACAACTGGAGGACGTCGTTCAAGCCACAGGACCCAGTGCAGGCAAGCCAGTTCCAGTCGGATGGAAGAGTGCTATACTGCCTTGAGCTGACGATGAACTTCAACCACGATGAGGCTGACATCATGGAACAGGTGAGCTGAGTTAATTATTTTCTCTTTGCATCAAGATGTTGACGTATCAGGAAATATATATATAGGATATTAGATAGCCCAGGCCGTGCAGGTGTTTTTTAATTAATGGTTGGTGTTTGTATATGTATTTACAGGAAGTTGGTGCGCTGCTATCTCGACTCAGATACATATCGTCCACTCTATTCTACACCGATGTCACATACCTGGAGTTCTTGGACAGGGTGCACACTTCTGAGCTGAAGCTGAGGGCTCAAGGCCTCTGGGAAGTCCCACACCCGTGGCTGAATCTTCTGATCCCAAGGAGCACAGTCCACAAATTTGCAAAGGAAGTCTTCGGCAAGATCCTAAAAGATAGCAACAATGGTCCCATACTGCTTTACCCAGTGAACAGAACCAAGTAAATATAACTAGCCAAATTGCAGTCCTATACTATACTATCCAGTTTCAAGTTTTGGTAACTAAAAAAAGTTTAACATGGTTGATGCAGGTGGGACAACAGAACATCAGTGGTCATACCAGATGAAGAAATTTTCTACCTGGTTGGGTTCCTATCTTCAGCACCATCATCCTCAGGTCATGGTAGTGTCGAACATGCAATGAACCTGAACAACAAAATAGTGGACTTCTGTGAAAAGAATGGTGTTGGGATGAAACAGTATCTAGCACCCTACACTACACAGAAGCAGTGGAAAGCCCACTTCGGAGCAAGGTGGGAGACATTTGAACGGAGGAAACACACGTACGATCCCCTAGCAATCCTAGCTCCAGGGCAGAGAATATTTCCAAAGGCATCACTACCTATGTCCTTGTGACAGTATATGCTGTGAAAAGGCTTTTGTAGAGCATATGTTGTACAAAAATGTAGCGAAAATATCCTTTGTAAAGACGAAATCTACGGAAGGTAGCTTAAAGAACACAGCGGGGCAACCAGTAGACTAGAACTCAAGAAGTAGTGGAAGATACCTCACAAAAGACTTCAAAGCAAAGCAGCGTGGCCTTAACTCTGGTTGCAGCTTTGGAGGCAAATGATTGGAGGATTACAGTGGTCCTAGCAACTGAAGTCCAGCTGTTGTTACAGCATAGAGAAGAGCTGTGCTACCTCAATGATCACTAAATCACTGACTAGTGTAACTCATGTTAAGTTGTTTGTGTTCAGCTAACAACACTGCAGAAGGTAGCATCAGGGTAGACCCTTGATTAGCAAATAACACAGCCTGTTGCATGTGAGTACTATCTGCATAAATGCAGCAGATTACATTAGTTTTTATGAATCGAATGTTATGTTTGCAAATGTTAAAGAAAAAAACAGCAAAGTTTCTTATTAATCATTCGTCTCCAAGAATAAATGGGACTGAATCATTTTATAATTCCCTTGATACGATAATCACCGTATATATTCTCCATTTGAGGTAATATAATAAAGTAAGAGTGGAGCTGTGAGATTTCATAAGATGTGACACAGTTTTCATTCGGTGGGATGGCGCATCAGATAGAAAGTAGTAACATTAAGTGTGGGGTCAGAACCAATGTATAGTGCAAAATTCTTCTGACGAGGTAACAAACAGGCATATTGATAGGAAAACTGCAAACCGCAAGCAGACAATGCCATGCTCCTGCATATTATAGCAATCGAGCATGATCTGCTACAGTAACGTAATTATCATGTCAGCAAAGGAAAAAAAACAGCTCAATAATGAACTTTTTACTGGAATGTAGCCCCTTATATGTTTTAAGCCTCATAACATCCTAAGAAAACATCCTACTATTGACAGTCACACTCACACCCAACATTATCCAGACCTTCACTTTCTGTGATACTTTTGCTGTTTGAATGTGACATTGAACTTCCATAAGAATCCCTTCAAACAATATTATCAGCAGAACTGAAATCCAGACAGGTACTCACACTCGGCTAGAGATAATGTTGTATGGATAGCTCATGGAAGGTGCACAACCTAGTTAGTTTGTCCAACTACATTTTTGGAAGGAAAAGATCAGTGTCATATGAAAGTGCACAGTTCAACTGGATTCAAAGTGGAACATAAGCAGATTACCTGCTAGTAGTACAACTACAGAGGTAAATATAGTGACAGGTAAAAGCATTTGCAACTTTGACAAATCTATGTACTGATCTAATCAATACTACAGAGTACAGATAAGACCAGGTTTGGCTCATACCCTGGCCTGAACCGTCCTAATCAGATGCAATCTTTCAATGTAGAGCTCTGATACTACTAGCAGCAGCATCACCTGTCAATGAGTATTGCACATACTGTTAGCAACATAAACATCACTGCTCTGTTCATCTGAAACTGAAAACATCACACTTGAGATTACAAGGAGGATCAGCTAAGGATTTCAAATCTTTTACTCATCTGATTAGACAAAGCTTGTGATCAGATAAATACTTAGGTTATGATTAGTATAATGCATGCCAATGCACTGTTGCAGAAGAACATGTTCACCATGATTCGGTGTAAATGAAAAGAAAAAAAAATGTGAGACAGTTCTAATGTAACAGTTATCTTCTTGATTTCTTATCGCACGCTCACATAACTGGAAGGGGCACATTAGGAGTTGAAAGAAACGTTCTTCCAGACTACACATTGAAAAAAGAGACAACCAGCTGCAGTCTCACAGTGAAACTCCAACTGTTCGATTCCATCTTATCTATCATTTATTACAGCTATCTGTAATGTGTCCCCTTCTGACAGTTGGTGATATGTCAATCACGCAAAAGGATAAGCAGACTGAAGACTAATAGCGATAAGCAGACTGAAGACTAATAGCGGGCCAGTTGCCTGAATCTGCTGTTGATTGACCTCATTTCCCCCACCAGAGAGTCTAATTAATTCAGTTTAACTTAATATCACCCCCTTCATCAGAAATGAAGATTCAGCGAAACAGAAAGCCAGAGCAAACCAAACAGCAGTCGTGCGATTGCTCAAAACCTCCTCCAATGTCCATCAGAATTCACACGCGCCACAATAATTGGAGGAAGACAATTTGATAAACCACTTGAGTTGATGAAGATCGCAAGCAAATGAGTTCAGGTGATACAGTTATCCACGACACAATCGCAGTCCAGTCCACCTATGGCTGTGATGATTATACACTTGCAACAACATCACCCGTTCGTGTGACGTGTGTACCAGGATTCATCTAATCCGTGTTCTACAATCCCGCACTTCCATACAACGCGAACAACGGGGACACGAGTGTAATTCGAAACCCCATTTCAAAAACCAAAGCAGAAAAAGGAAAAAAAAACATGACACACGAATCGAAGCGGCAAACTTATGCGATTTGGAGAGAGGCGCGAACGGGGGAGGGAGCTTACGTTGAATTGGATTGGATTGGATTCGGACGGAGAGGTGAGCGGAGAAGGGAGGGAGAGGGAGAGAGGGGGCAGCGCGGGGAGGCGGCGAGATGGCGAGAGGATACTTTTGGAGGAAGGCGTCGCGGAGAATAAGGCGGTGGCCCTTCCTCCACCTCGCGCCTATTCGAGGAAGACGGCGCACGCCACGCGGTGGGGGAGTTTAATATGGGCCTCGGACTTTGGGCCGTTGTGGTCCACGCAACATGTGGTTGAGTGGGCCTCTGCTTCCTTCCTTTACCCCTCTCGGAGCTTAGTGGGCTTCTTTTGTTTTTTTTTTCTTTCTAGAAGGCTCCGTTTTATTTTTATTTTTTATTTTTAATCCCTGAAAGGTGGAGTGCACTTTTTTTTATATAAGTTTTATTAGTATTACACTCCATTGCACGTCGTTTTGCACTCATGCTGTCATGCAAGCTAGCTACGTTGCATGCCATATGCCATAATAAAGAACAAGGCTACATGAATCCAGTGCGTTGCCAATGGAAAAGCGCATGCGAAAACATATACTACATGCTCCCCACTTGTAGTAGAAAACCAAGCTACTGAACGTAACTCGTCTCATACTCTCATTCCATTCACTTCGCCTTATTCACCTCGCCTGTGAGAATTCAGAAATCAAGAGATGGCAAATACTGTAAGACTATCATAGCATGAATGGCAGGCCAAGAAAAAACGGGATTTCTCTGCACAAGACCCAGATTTTTATATATATGAATATAGATATCAAACAATGTCCCTTTTTTACATTTGAACAAGAGGGGCTAGCTGTATCTTCATTGTCTCTCTCACTATATGGGACCTCCTTGTTGCTGTCTATTCGACGAATGTACGGCGGCGAGGAGGGCAGCCCCGACCCCCGACCCATCCTCCGTCACCCTCAGCGTCACGTTCCGCGCCACCTCCTCCCCCAGGATCTCCACCAGGGCCTCGTCCAGGTACTCCCTGAACACCGGGTAACCCTGGTACAGCCCGCCCTCGATCGCCACCACCGTCCTCCTCGGCTGCCCTCTACCTCTCCCGCTCGACGCCGCGCCGCTCCCATCCCTCCCCAGCTTCTTCAGTATCCCCACGATGCCTGCAGCGGCTAGACGGGCGGCTCTGCGAGTCACAATGTCGCAGACTTTCACGACCAGCCGTCGAGTTTTCAGAGGAGCATCGGGAATCTGGAAGAGAGAATCATCAGACAACTAGATGGATGGAATGGAAAAAAGAATGGTGCCCGATGAAATGGCTGGAATAATTCTGAGCTAACCTTCAGATGTTCTCGAAGTATCCTTCTGACTTCGCTCAGATCTGGTGAATCGTCCTCGCGAATTGCGGCCAGAAACGGTGTGCTGGATTTGCAAAATTGAAATCAGACAACACATAGAACAACTTCTTTTTACTAATTGTGTTTATGCAGAAATACACCAGGTACGAAACAAACATCAGTAGAATTTGACATCCGGACATACCTCAAAATGAAAGGGTTGGATAGACTATCAGCAGCATCACCAAAAACATCTGATTCCTGGGCCATTCTATGAAATACCAATCTTGCAATTTCCCCAAGATACATTCCTGATATCATTTTCTCAAAGCCCTGAATCATGGTAGTACAAAGTGTTCAGTCTAAACCACAACACAAGATACCAGAATAATTGAATTTTACCCAGGTTGCTACCTGATCATTGCGATTGTGTGTTTCATCATCCAGCAAGATGTCATATGGCGTCCTTGGCAAATGTGATGACCAGAAATTCCCCCACTCCATGTTTACTACCTGATTAACGAAATGTTTTAGGGTACGCACATGGGCATCATAATTCCTTTACTCCACATAAGCTGATGAGCATTTGACAAGGAAATTGAACTGACTACAGATAAAGGAGAAAATAAGATACCATGCCTCCAGAGTTCGTTAGAAGACCCTGGCACTTGATAATTGCATCAGTGCGTTCAATGTAGCAAGCGTTGGTGCCAGACCCAATTATCACAGCAGCCACTGTGTCTTCATCATAGTAATGCCCTAGAGCTAATGTCCCCACTGTATCATTCACCTAAGTACAAAGTAGCATAAAAGAATAATCATTTAAAAGGCACTCCTCAACAAAATATAATAAAAATATAACACAATGGCATTATACTTCATTGGGCCAAACACCAGCAGCCATCCCAAACAGAACAAGGGTATAGTATCAGGCCATGACACCAATACTATTACTGCACTACCCCTATAATCATGGCATTGTCCTCTTGATTTGAGTGAAGGTTTCTAGCAGCAAGGATTATTCTGTGTTTTGAACATAACATGCTGATAACAAGCATCTCTGAAGCTGGTCACTACCCCAAAAAAATGCTACTACCTCCGTCCCAAAATAAGTGCAGCCATGAGTTTCCGCGCCCAACTTCGATCGTCCGTCTTATTTAAAAAAAATTTATAATTAACATTTTTGTTGTTATGAGATGATAAAACATGAATAGTACTTTACTCGTGACTTATGTTTTTAATTTTTTTAAAAAAAAATTCAAATAAGACGAACGGTCAAAGTTGGGCGTGGAAAACCATGGCTGCACTTATTTTGGGACGGAGGGAGTATTACTGATACACACATGATCAGTATATATCTGTGTACATCCGTTTTTACTTTATTTACCAGCTCTGTTCCCTTATCTAGAACACTGCTTGCACTCTACAAGCAAATTCATAACTATGAACTGAACACTGGGAAAGAAAGGCTGTCACAGCTAGACCAACCCCGACAGAAGAACTAGAGGGTCACCCTTCGGATTTTTCATTTCAAATTCCTCGATGGCAAGCGTCATCTTTTGAATGCATTTCTTATTGACTACTACCTCTGTTTCAGGTTACAAGACTTGAGATCAAAAAAAAAGGTTATAAGACTTTCTAGCATTGCCCACATTCATATAGATATTAATGAATCTAGACACACATATATGTCTAGATTCATTAACATATACTCCCTCCGTTTCACAATGTAAGTCATTCTAGAATTTCCCACATTCATATTGATATTAATGAATACATTCATATTGATACTAATGAATCTAGATAGGTATATATGTCTAGATTCATTAGCATCAATATGAATGTGGGAAATGCTAGAATGACTTACATTGTGAAACGGAGGGAGTATATGAATGTGGGCAATGCTAGAAAGTCTTATAATATGAAACGGAGGAAGTATGTATCTAAGCTCCACACTAGTAGTGAACAAGCACTATAACAGTACTTTCAAGCCAAGAAAATGTATTCAATGGTATAAATGTAACAGAGTTACACCCACCAAAAAAACGGTTGCAAAAGACTTACCAATGCAGTGACCCGCACATTTAGCCCACAATTGGCAAGCGCTTCATTTAAGCACTGAGCAACATCTCTGCCAACCTAAGATTCCATTATTCACAGTAGCAGTTTCAAAATCAGTATGTCAGATCGAAGCAAAGAAGAAATCAGAAAATAAAGCAAAGCAATATGTGTTTCCTTCAAATAAAAATATAATTTAGTTAGGAAGTTGAGGGAAACGGCTACACATGCATGTTTATGCAGCAACATATCCTATGCACACAGGCCCTCACGTGTACACACGGGCACACCAACTAAAAAATGTCACCAAAAAAACTAGAAAAAATCATACACATACTTTCAATTGTATTACACCTAGGGTTAAAATCTTAACGTCAAATTCATTATATTTTAGCCGTAACAAAATAAACAAAAAATCTGACAGTTTTAAGGTTGCAATTTTGTCAGAATTTTATCTTTTTTGTTATTCTCTATGTAGAATGAATTTGAAGATGCGACTTTGCACGTAGATGTAATACTATTGAAAGTACATGTATGAATTTTCCTAAAATTTTTTGTGATAATTTTTAGTTGGTGTACACGGTGTGTACACGCGAGGGCCTGTGTGCATAGGATATGCTCCCTGTTTATGCAACCACAACAAATATCCAACAGACTGTCATAGGTAGTGGGCCGAGGGGTCGAGGCCCTAGGGATAAGGATAGAGTTGGTTGGATAGGATTAGACTGGGTCCTCCCTCCATCTATATAAGGATGGTTTGTATCATCATTCTAATTAAGCAATGAATCAAGATTAGTCTCTCCCAGCCTAAGTCCTCCTCTCATCCCTAGCAGCCGTCGCCGCCCGGCTATCCTCTCGGCGGTGTTTACCCCCTATGGATCCTAACCCATAACAACTTGGTATCAGAGCCATGGTTGTTGAAGATATGATCAAAGATCCTAGAGACATGTGCATCCGGATCCTCAAAAGGATGCAGGTCGACCTGGCGGTACTTGCAGCCTCAATGAGGACGGAGCATGCGCCAATCGAGAAGGAAGAGAAGTGCAATCTGCAGACGGCGGTGGTGGGCACAGCAATGCCGTCGCTGGCCGCGGCTCCATCCTCTCAGCCCTCCCCAATGGAGGCTATTGTGTCGTGCCATCATCTATCATCCATGCGCCCACGACAGCATGTATTCAAGAAGCGTAATTCAGGCAGGTCGTCAGGGTGCAGGGCAAGCCATGGCGCGCGGCGTGGTGCGCGGCCGAGGGCAGCTGCACCTGCTTCCTCTGGGACAACCTTCCCTGAAGCAAGGCGGCCGGGGGATCCTTGTTGGCAGGAGCAGGGGCCATTTTCGGGTAGCCCTCGCCCATGCAGTTGGCTATGGCGCTGGCGCCGCCGCTGCTGGGGTCATCGGAGGCGAAGACGGCGATTCCGGCTGCCACGAAGACGCGGGCTGGTTTTTTTTTTGGGAAGCGAGCGGCAAGGCGGCAGGCGCATTGGCGCGGGCTCCTGGCAACGCGGCGCGCACAACAGCGCGATTCGTGCGCGCGGCAGTTGGGGAAGTGCGGCGTGGCCCTTGATTCTCGGCGGGCGTCGCGCGCGGAGGCGTGGGAGACGACGCAGCAGTTGCGCAGCCCACGAGCGGCGGAAGCGCGGCTCCAACTACCGGCAGCGTTGCATTCAGTGGATAAGATTTCACGTCCTGGTGGGATCAGCAGATCGATCAAGCCATCTTGGTGGCTCTTGGGCCAGTGGGCTGGTCCACAAATTACAACACAAGGGCCTTCAACTATGCCTTGGGCCTTAGGCAGTCAGTGTGGGCTAGAAATGTTGGCACCATGGCTGTTGTGCTGGTCCGGTGGAGCTAATCTGAATGTGCCATCTACAAACCACCTTGGAAAACAGATTAGATGTGCAATCAAGCTTGCAACGTGCTATGGACTTATCCTTTCTCTCAAAGCTTTGGGATGGGGTCCACCTACATCTGATGTCGGCGAGATAGCATGGTGGTGCATCATAATCTTTGATTTATTTATCCTTTCAATTTCAGTTTGCCATAAAGTAATAAGCCGAGATGTAAAAGGCTTAAGTCATATAAGGCTTTATTTAGGGAGTCGTTTGGGTCAGCTAAATTGTGCTGCAGCTCGAGGGCGAGCTGCTCGAAAGGAGGGATGTAGTGTCATAGGTAGTGGGCCGAGGGGTCGAGGCCCTAGGGATAAGGATAGAGTTGGTTGGATAGGATTAGACTGGGTCCTCCCTCCATCTATATAAGGATGGTTTGTATCATCATTCTAATTAAGCAATGAATCAAGGTTAGTCTCTCCCAACCTAAGTCCCCCTCTCATCCCTAGCAGCCGTCGCCGCCCGGCTATCCTCCCGGCGGTGTTTACCCCCTATGAATCCTAACCCATAACACAAACAGAAATAGGACTCATCATTACAAATTTCTAGTAGGTAACAAGTATATATTCTTTCATGTAGTAACACAAGATAGTCAAAAAAGTGGTAGCTAGTTATGCATTCACCTTGAACCATAGAAAAATTTACAATATTTACCAAAACCACTAGCTGTGTAGGTTATATACAACTACATCAATGTGGAAATTAAACTGAACCATATGATAACTAGCAAGGAAAAAATTTTGCCATACCGTGTCTCTGATGGAAAATCCTTTTGTCCACCTAATTAATGACCCTGAAGACACTGAAATTTGTCTAACAGGGAAAGAAAATGTAAAACCAAGTGCCATTTTTCCATCTTGGTCATCTTCTCCTTCAAGAAAATTCTTTAGTGCCAGGGCAACAAAGTTGAATAAACCCTGCAATTGACCAAAAAAAAACTTAAACATCTATACAGGATATACATTAGACAACTGAGAAAATATGATTAAACAAGTACCTCAGTAGTGCCTTTGGTCAGTTCCTCAGGGATGGGTTGCTGTTCAACCTTTTGGTTGACGATCACAGATCCCGCACCAACTTGTACCCTCAAGACTCTGAAGTTTGTTCCTCCAAGATCAATAGAATAATATACACCTTCTTCACTCCTGTTGAAGTGCATGGCCAGAACAAATTTAGTACAATGGTTCCATAGACACGCACACACAAGAGAACTGTAAATATCACAACTGATCGTGGGGGCATAAAGAATGCATCAACCATGGCTTCATAAAACAAAATGCTTGCAAAGAGAAGCTAACTTGGAGCAACGGGCTTCAACTGTCATCTTGAGGAAACAAACAGCACAATTGTGCTCTTCAACTCGAAGGAGAAAATATAACACCTCAAAATGCAATCATTAATAAACACTCTTTTTGTGTTCAATCAAATTTTGTATTACATTGCGCTATATTAGACATTTTGAACCTAGAAGATGTAACTATGCAGAAACTGAAAACCATGTAAATTATCATCTGCAGTTCTGCACTAAGCTACTGGCGCGCCTGCTCAAGTTTTGCCTATTGCCCTATTCTGTATCCTATATACCATTACGCATGACACCTTAGATGGCTCATCACTGTCATAAGTTGTGAGGCATCTGTGAGGCAAACATTGCCAAATATGCTAATCTAATACTGTAGGGCATACATACACAACAAATTAGGTGAGAGCTAATCAACAGCAACATAAAGATGGTCTTTCTTCAGGTATACAACACTGTGTGGACAAATGTGCCATTATAGAATGTGTGGATCATCTGCTACTCCCACAATATTGCAAGGATACTGTGTGGACAAGACGCCGGCAAGAGTACTTGCAACAGAACTCTAGCATTGGAAAATAGTATACTATGTACATAAACTTCTGGCCAAAATTATTCATATGTAACACTGGTCTCAAGTTTTAAATCGGTATCCTGGGAAAGGTTGTCTTTATTTTTTACTGGCGAACATGGATTACTAGAGACACTAATTTAAGATATCGCTCCACATTTTACAGCAAGACACATCTGCCACAAAGCGATGCTATCCAAAAGAAACACACTATGAATGCAAACCAGCTACAATGTTACTAAAACAGTAAAAACTGGCACAATGCTTACAGATATACTTACTACGAAGGCACATGGCAATCAAGAAAAACGAACAAGAAAACAAACATGTGACAGAAACAAAAATACAAAACGCCAACCAAAACCAATGTGCATCCGTCTGTCATGCAGTTCTAGGTTCTAACAAGACGCCAACTTGTTGCAAGTACAACCATCCAAGAAATGGGTTGTCGAAACCGAGCAAAGAACGGAAGGTGGGATTGAAATGATGTAGGTCTTTCATCACAAATGTTTTGATTTATTTAAAAATCATATCAGCTCACAACAGCAGAATCATTCGTGTAACTGCACATATGTGGATCCTCAACCACTTCAACACACAGTTTTTTTTTCGCGCTAATCCACCCAAGCAAAACAAGATGAACTCCTAACAAAAAAAGTGCCCCTCAAGCAATGATTCCCATCTGACAGAGATCGTCCCAGCACACACTGCCATTGTGGAATACAACCTGGCCAGTAAACACAATGCCGGGTACATAAAAGCGTAGGCAGATTCATTTACCAAGATAGCACACTCTGCCCCCTTTATGGCGGCCTGAACAACAACCCAGCCATGAAAGCAAGCGTCGAACCAAACAGTGCTTTGCTTCAGGCGGCATAAGAGCCACATGACAAATTCTCGGCATTTGGCAGATTAATTGTCTTCGCCCCAGAGTTGCTCCGGCACAAAGGTATAGCACTGCAGGCGGCATCAGACATCACAAGTTCACAACTATGCAAATCCTTGCAAAAATGGCGATTAGACGAAGGGTAGAGACTGTAATCCCCCGCGGAGGGACCAAGCATGAAAAGGGCGTCGTTTTTCTGTGCCTCTCCATGAAAGGAGGCAGCATCTATGAACCCCAAGTGTTTGCGAAAATTTCTGAAAGAAAATCGACCGAAATGTGCGCGGCATTACACGGAATCGAATAAAGATAGCGACTTTATGAACATATCAGGAAAAGTGACGGCACGAAATTTGATTACTATTGGATGAACACATCAGCAAAGTAGCCAACAAAATTTGTTTATGGTTCCACATTAGCACCACGAAGCAAGAACAACAATAGAGATAAGATAAACACCATATGTGAAACGCCCCAACTCAGTATTAGTAGCATTCAGACGATTAGTCCAAAGGATGACAAGCCCAATGCAGGCCACCGATGGGCGGAAAGCAGCAAGAAATGCACATCGTCGTGCGCCAGTTTAAAACAAAACGATCGAGAGAGAAAGCATCGCGTTTATATAGAGCTCAAAACCAAAAGGCAAATCTGTGCTCGTATAGCTATTCAAACAGCCACCCAAAAGAAAAGCGTGAAGTGCGCATGACTCCACGCCATCCGGAAGGCAAGAAATCAGGAAGAGACCACATTTGCGATGGCGGCGAGATGCAAGCGTATGATCCAACAACCAAATATTGTTGGTTAAAGAAAAAAACAAAAAAAAATAGTAATACGTTTCGTCTGTAAAATTAATTAAGACTCGGCAAAAGAAACGAAAAGATGCAGGCGATAGATAAAAGTCATCGAGGAATCGCGAGGCGACGAACTAGACCAAGCCAGCCGCAAGGAACCGCGGTGGTGGGGGGGAGGCCGTACCCGCTGGGGAGCGCGTCGACGAAGGTGAGCAGCATCTTGAGCTTGCTGCCGCCATCGGACGCGAGGCCGGCGTGCATCTCGACGACCATGGCGTCCACGACCTGGCGCAGCCTCGCGGGCGGCGTGGCACACCCCTCCTCGAACTCCCGCAGCAGCGCCACCGCCCGCCGCCACCGCGCCCGCGCCGACGCCCTGCGCGCCACGAGCGCCGCGGCGATCGCGCAGGTCACCGCCGCGCACCCCACCGCCACGCCGAGCCCCACCCTCCCCATCTCCTCCTCCACCCCTCCCCCTCTCCCTCCCCCCTCCCCTCCAGAGCGCGCGGGCGATCACGCCATCCCCCCCGCCCGCCCCGCAGCCGCTCCCTCCCAAACCCACCCACGAATCCCACCCCGGACGCGGCGGCGCGCGCGCGAGGTGCTCGGCGGAATGGCGGAATGGGATGGAACAGAAGGCGGCGGCGGCGGCGGCGGTGGTGTGGGGGACTAGACTAGTACTACTGCTGCTGCTGCTGCTGCTGCTACTACAACTACAACCCCGGGGGGTGGGGCTGGATGGCGAAGGGGAAAAGGAGAAGAAAGGAAGAGGAGAGGTGGAGAAATATAATAGAAATAGGGGGAGAAGACCAGGGCGTGCTTGAGCTTTTATTGATGCAGGGATTTCTTTTCCTTTCGCCCTCTTTGTTCCCTCTATTTCTGCTTTCCACCACCACCTGCTGCCTGCCTGTGCCTGCCTTGCCTGATCCTTTCATTTTTTCTTCGTGCTTTCTTCAAATTCCATCTTTTTCCATCTCACCCCCCTAGCTTTGACCTGTTTCCTCCCTGTGGTGTCCTTGTGAGGTTTAAATTTAAAATAAAGTTGATGGGCGGCTTGCTCATGGTTGCTGGTGGTTTTGTGCATGATGGCAGTGCTCTTATACCTTTTGTCATTTGATTGAAAGAAAATTCATAGAAATTTGAGATGATTTTATTCCTATAGCTATTTGAATTAAAGGAATGAATCCTATGAAATTTTTATGGAATGACTAATGCTATGTAAATTATGGTGGAAATCTAACATGATGTTCTGCCTCATGGAAACTTTTCTTAGAGTCTTTATCTCTCCTTAGGGCCCCTTTGATTTATAGGAAAAATGTAGGAATTTTGGAGGATTTTAATTCAATGGAAAAAAATCCTGTGAAGGCCTTTGAAACAAAGGATTGAATCCTATCGAATCCTTTAAAATTCCTATGTAATGGGTAATCCTATGCACATTTTGGAGGAAAGTTAGCAAGAGGTCTAACCTCTTAAAACATTTTCTCTGACTCTCTCATCTGATTCCTGCGTTTTCCTGTGGTCCAATCAAACGGTCATTCCTGTGTTTTTTCTATGTTTTGCAATCCTCTGTTTTACAATTGTATTCCTGTCAGAATCCTATGTTTTTCCTATTCCTCTGTTTTTTCATTCCTACGATTCAAAGGGGCCCTAGGGCCCATTTGAATCACAGGGTTGAAAAAATGGAGGAATAGGAAAAACATATGATTCTGATAGGAATTGAAGTGTAAAACTGAGGATTACAAACACACAAGAATGGTTGTTTGATTGGAGCGTAGGAAAAACGCAGGAATTGGATGAGACAGATAGACTCAAAAAGAACTTTTCAGGAGGTTGGAGCTCTTGCTATATTTCCTCTAAAATCCACATACAATGTGCCATTCCATATGAATTTCATAGGATTTGGAAAACTTCAATCCTTTGAATCAAAGGGCTAAGTAGGAAAATTTCCTATAGGATTTGAATCCTATGAAATTCCTAGATAAATCCTTTGATTCAAATGGGCTCTAATTCTTGTGTTTTTCCTGCAGTCCAATTAAACGGTTATTCCTATGTTTTTTCTATATTCTGCAATCATCTGCTTTACATTTACATTTATATCAAAAATTGGTGTTTTTCCTATTCCTACGTTTTTTAAATCATGTGATTCAAAAGGACCCTTAATTCTTGATAATAAGTTTGGTAACACTATGCATGAAGAGTTGTTTAGAGATTTTCTTTGAATTTGATATGCGCTGAGTTCTACTAGCATTTAGCTAGCTCTTTTTTCTATCAATGTGTGGGCAATATGCAATTTTTTTCAGAGTAACAAACAACCTTTGTTTGGTTTGCATCACACAGGGACATTGCCAAATAGTAGACTCCAAAAAAAATTGATCCTTGGCTTTGTTTGATTTATGGTATGCCAGCCCCCATCATTCAATGCCACATCCTTGTTGCGTGGTCACCGCAAGCTAATCTCTACACTCAAGTTGGATATGCACGGAGATTTGTTAGAAAATTTTGGCATTTGGTTAGCTGTCTTCCTATTAATGCATCACAAAATATGATTGTGTTTAAAAGTACCAAAACAACCTGATTAGTTCGCGTCACATGAATATACAGCGGGATGGTAAGAACCAAAAGGCTACAACTTCATTTGGTTTGTGTATGCCAACCCACGTCACCCGTTATCAAACTCTCAGTATGTGGTCACCGCAAGCTGGTCTCTACGCTCAAGTCTGATATACATCGAGATTTGTTAGAGATTTTTGGCGTTTCGTTAGCTGTAAGGCATCACGAAATACGATTTTGTTTAAAAGTACCAAAAGCCCATTTAGTTCGTATCACCTGGACCCGTTTGGTTTGTGTATGCTACACACCTGGACGGTAAGATCCAAAATGCTACAACTTCGTTTGGTTAGTGTATGCCAGCCCACCCGTTATCAAACTCTCAGTACACTGTCACCACAAAGCTGATCTCTACGTACGTTTAAGATTGGTATGCATGACGATTTGTTAGAGATTTTTGGTGTTTGGTTAGTTGTCTTCCTGTTAAGGTACCGAGTATTTCCTCCATTTCACAATGTAAGACTTTCTAGCATTGCTCACATTTATTTAGATATATGTTTATATATATATATATATATATATATATATATATATATATAGCAATATTATAAAGTCTAACATTGTGAAAGGGATAAGAGTACAGTGGACGATAAGATCCAAAAGGGTACAACTACGTTTGGCTTCGTGTATGCCAGCCCATGTCATCTGTTGTCAATTTCTCATGATATAGTCATTGTAAGCTAATATCCATGCTCAAGTTCGATATGCACAGAGATTTTTTTTATGTCTGGTTAGTTGTTTTTCAATTAAGACATCATAAAGTAAAAAAAATCTTCAGAAGTAACAACAATATGTTTTATTCGCATCATATTGGAACATTGAACGGGATGATAAAAGAAAAACTACAGCTTCGGTTGATTTGTGTATGCACGCACACATAAGCCCTTGGTATTGATCTTCTCAAACCGGATGGTGTTGTACAAGCGAAACATACTCATACAAATATTGGAGCAACTATTTGTGCAAAAATTTCCTTCTGTGTCAATATGTTTTAGCAAACAAAACTTTAATCATTTATACTGTATCATTCTAGTTCATGTCTAGGACGTCCCACTATATCAAATTATATAGGTTCCACCCTTTTTGTATTTTTGGAATCACAAATTCCAAATAAAAATGATATGGTAAGTCATAAAAATATGGCCCACTTGGCCACCAAATATGAAGCGAAATAACAAAGGATATAACAGCAATATATGCACAGGGATAATGATACGGAGTATACTAGTAGTAGCAGCTTAGCAGAGACAATGTGCGTACAACACAGGTAATGATGCAAGTGTCAGCAAGCAATCACAGCAGTCAAACATAACCAAAATCAGCCTAGTCAATCACCAAACGGTCGCCCCATTGGCTGCAGCTCCTGCCCAGTTGGGATTAGAAATTTTAGCAGAAACCTGAGAGGAGAGATTTCAAATCGAAAAAGACGGTCTTCGGTGGCACGGTCATGCTCCCTCACCTTACCCCCCATCATCAGATTACAAAATGGCGCAAAAGAAGGGGGAAAAAAAACCCAGCATGTGCCTCCTCTATCGCGGCGGATTACGCAGAAACGCCCCCGCGAAACCGAGAAATCCGCCGTTTTGTGACGGCACACGGCCCGGTTTCCACCGTTGTCCAGTCCACTACTCTCCTCCACTCCACAAATCCACATGTCACATGAGCAGCAGCGCCGCGGCGGCAGGCCCAGGCGCGAAGTGGCCGTGGGGGCGTGGATGGCGGCCGCGGTGAAATGACGCGAGAGCCCCCGCGCGCGCGGCGAAATTGCTGATACGGGGGCGGTGCGGGTGCATGGGGAGAGGCTTTGACTTGTGTCGGGAGACCGAGAAGGCGACGGCCAGGCCATCTCGCGTCGCTGCCTTGCCCCTGGAAACGGAGCGTATTTACGGCCGTTGGCCACTGATTATAGTGGATTACCCAATCCCGATTCCCGGGTGGCTTGAAACCGTGGTTTGGGTCGGTCGTCGGCGCGACTTTGACCGCGGGGGGACGGTGATCGGAGGAGGGGAGAGGGTGGGGGGACCAAAGGCCCCCGCGGCGCCGGTTGCTGCAGCTGCGGCGTCTGCGGGTAGATGGCCGAAATGAATCCCCTGTCTGCGCCGCACGCCGTGCCGCGCCGCGCCGGCCGCGTGCGCACCACCGATCTGCCAACCCAACCCAACCCCCCGCGCCTGCGGCATAAATTATAAATGGCCTCCTGTACCGCGTCGTCGAGCCTCCCCTCCCCCAGCCAGCCTACCGCCTGTACCCGTCGCCGCATCTGTCCCAGTCCACTACACCACCGACTGCTCACACAAGGCCAGTGATTCAACATCTATATATCAGTATCTAGTGTTAAGTAGTAACTCCGGGGTCGCCAGGCCAGCTACTAGCTTTGTACAAGTAACACGTGATTTGCTGTACCGATCGATGATTCAGGCAGCACGTCGTGTCGTGGCGAGGGAACACCGGAACAGTATCCGGCAGCTGGTGGTCAGGGTTAATACTCCTATCTACGGTTACGTTATTAATTCGGCCATGAGCTCACGCGTGATCGATCCTGCATGCGACGCCGGCCCGATCGATCAGCAGCAGCAACCCACTCGCGGTAATTAGTGGTGACACACACGCGCACACCGCGGCTATGGGCTATAGCTATAGCCCCGGATGCACCAACACGACCTGCATTTCGCTGCAGCCTTTAATTTTTTGGAACAAACGCATCGATCGCTTCTACGTACGGATACACTATTTATGTACTATAGAAATGTTTACAAATTGCCACAAATAATGTTCCTGCTCTGTCCCCACTCCCAATATAAATAGAATAAAATTAATTATCTCATTCACTCATGTTGTTATCGACTACTGTAGATCGTAGACAAGACGATATTTTTCCCATCCGGAAAACGATCGATCGAGTGTATGTAGATCTTTCTCATTTTTCACTTTCACGGAGTACAGTTGGTTTATGCTGTGTCCAAGTCTCCAAGATACGATGGAAGCATCTCTCTCTCTTTTGTTATTTTTCTCCTTGACGTCACTTTTCTCGACCAGTACAACCACGATCTATATGATATTTCTACACTTTTATATTGTACATTATCTAGTGTATAGTAGTAACATGTTCTCACAAGAATTAAGCGTCCGTACCGCGAGTCACATGAGTGACATAATTGCTTAAATCACGCCTCTGTGTCTTGAAACTACACGCG